CAGAGATCTACCTTAAAATAAATTATGAATAAGAAAAAAATCTATATACACAAAGTTTTTCTAGGTCCTACTATGTATAAGAGAATGGTTTAGAAGGGAAAAGGTTCCTTCTCTTAAGGTAGTTATAAAATGAATTAAATGATAATATAGTCTTCAACTATAATTAGAAAATCTAAAACAATATGAAGAATTACATTAGGTAATTATAAATCTTAAAAACCATAACTATGCTGTGTCCATAATTATCACACAGCTAAATACGTATTTATCATGGACTACTAGAAAACACAGAAAAGTGTCTGATGTGCTAAAGTCATGAGATAAGGGTGATTTTTTTTTTATATGTCCTTTGTTTTTCCTAAAATGTTTTCTGCATGGTACAAGCAATTGAAGGGAAAAAAAAAGAATTGCTATAAACAAAATCCAGTTATGAGGAAATGAAACCTTGCCTCCAGCTAATTGTCATGAGAATGTTTACTATATTAGACTTCACTTTTGGCAGACAAAATTCCAAATAATTAGGTGAATGCTGCAACTGGAACTAATCCATTTGTACCTGTATACAAGCATTCAAATATTGCACATTATTTAAGCTATGTGCATGGCCTTCATGTTTTCTTTGATAATTTTGATGATACTCCCCTTCTAATCTTTTAAAATTAAAATTGATTTTCTCTTCAAAAAAAAAAAAATGGCACCGAGGCTTCAGTCTCCCCTTCCTGTGCTGCCTCCAACGAGATAAACCCACCCCTGCCGAGGTTGGACCCCGGCAGTGAGCCATGTGGGAGTCCAGCACCAGTCCTCCTGGGATACTTTTAACCCTTTCACTATGTGAAAGCACTTAGCACAGCACCCACCATATTACAACATCCAGTGGATGATGATTATCTTCTTTTTTACTTTTAAAAATTTCACTGCAATCCTACATATCAGGTATTATCTCCAGTTTATAGATGAGGAAACTAGAGACAGGAGTTTAATAACTTGCTCAAGAATACACTGCTAGTAAGTAGAGCATCTGGGATTTGAACACAGGAATAACTAGTTCCAGGGTGTAATTTTCCTGTACTGTGCAGTATGGAAACCACTGATATACATGTTGGCCTAGATGATTGATGGAGAGTCCTTAAGGATAGTCTTCTTTCCTCAGTCACAAGCAGAAGAGCAAAGGGGCTTCCACAGAGTTACCAGGAGGAGTGTGTACCTTTTGAAACCATTAAAAAGACTGGTGGTAGCAGAGCCTGAGAGTTTCATCAGTCTTCAAGAAAGGCACCATTAAGTCAGCAACTGGTTATGTAGTTAGGGCATCAGAGGAGACATGATGGAATGCTGACAAAATGGGGAAGGGGAGTCTTCTGAGACCAGCCAGCTGAAACTAGCTTATTAGAAATCTAAATTTCTTTTCTATCAATTGGTCCTCCAGATATAATGAACCTTGTAAACCTCCTTGCCAAGCACACAAAACAACAAATAGAGTCAAGGTCCAAAGGGCCATTTTCTTCTTGACTCAAATCAAAAAAAAAAAAAAAAAAAAAAAAAAAAAAAAAGAATACTGGCTTATAACAGTGACTCAATGATTATTTTAGGCAACAAGGCCTAAAGCTAATGTAACAATTAAGACTTTTCCAGTACCACCACATTTTGAGAAAAAGGTAATGGTATTTTAGACAGAATGTCTCACGACCTTCATACCCTGTCCAAACTTACAAGAATGACCAGACCCATCTAATATGCAACCCCCATCACAAGGGGAACACATGCACAAGCCCCTCCTAGAATAAGCCTGAACAGAGCCCTTCCTAACCAAGATAAAAACCCCTCACTTCAGCTTCTCACTCAGGAACTCCCTTTTCAGAGTGAAAGGCTTGCCTTCCTTCTACCCTTCTCCTAATAAAACTGCACTTGCTTACCTATGTCCACATCTCTAATTGTTTGTGAGCTATGATCAAGAACCAGTGCCATGTTCTCCTGCCTCCTGCCACGGGTGCTGGACCTAATAACACCCCTGCATTACCATGATTCCCAGATTTCAGCTTTCCTTCTATGGGAGGCTTTACACAGGGACAACCTCTTTCTCATTTTACCCTCTGACTCTTTTGGACATTTGGAATTATAAGTAAGCTTTCATCATCACCATTTTCATCACCATCATCATTATTCTCATATTTGGTTTCTCAAGAAGCCAATAATCCTCATAACTAGTTTACTGAATGTTTTTCAGATACTCCTCTAAGCATATAACACATGTTAGTTCATTTAATCTTCACAATAATGCTGTGAGGAAAGGACTGTTAGTATTCTTGCCTCACATATAAGAAAGAAGACCCAGAGAAATTAAGAAATTAAACCAACATGACCCTGAGTTAACAGCCTTTCCAGAGTTCACCTTGGAAAATGTTAATCGATTATTACAAAGATGCTGATAGTTGCTGTTGAAAAACTAACGGCATAATACAATAATAACAAGAAACTAGACTTTAATAGCAAAATTTTTGACTTTGGGCCAGTCAGTTTTCCTCTCGGAACCTCATCCATAAAACATGAATGATAATAACATATGTTCTATTAACAATGTAGGGTTACTAATCTGAGGCTCAAGTGGGAATGTTATCTTAAAGACAGTGCTTTAGGGGCCAGTAGGTGGCATGGTGGTTGGGGCACTGGACTCCCACATGACTGACCGTGGTTAGAGTCCCAGACCTTGAGGCTTGCTTGCTCTCTCTCTCTGGTGAACACACATGCTCTATAGCAAAGGATAATAATAAATATAATTAAATAAATAATTTTTGGAGAGCTTTTTGCTATGGGGAGCATGAGCTCACCAGTAAAACAGAGAGACAGAGAGACAGAAAGTGGGAAATCACTCCCCAGGGGGGATGGCCATGCTGCAATCCCTTCTCCATTCTCCTCTTGGGATCTTGGGCGCACACGCACACGTGCCTGGCGTGAGTTTAAGACAACGGGTCCAGGACTTGAATTGCAGTCGACTGCATGGGAGTCCAGTGACATAGCCATTATGCCAACTGCTGGTCCCTAAATAAATAATTATTTAAAAAATTAACAACACTGCTTTAAGTATAAAGCATTTACCAGTATAAAAGGCACTTTTCTTACTATCTTCTTCCCTCTCCTCTTTTTTCTCCTTCTCCCCTTCCCCGATTTCCCTTGTGTTTCCCCTTGAGTATAATTTTATTCCTTCTGTTATTTTTTTCCTTCTCTTACCTTACTTATTCCCCCTTAACTGGATCTCAGGCTTACCTGAAGTACTGTATTTAGGCAAAAGAAAAAGTTTAAGAGGCACACAGACTTGGTTGGGTCTGATCTAGCTTTGTCCCTTTCTAGTTGTTTATTGAGTAATTACTTTACTCATTTTGAGCCTTAGTTCTACCATCTTTAAAAATGGACACACATAACAGGTTTTTTGCAAGGTTATTATTGGAAATTGTGTAGATTGTCTGAAAATTTGTGTGGCAACAATTCCTCCCATTTCTGGCATGCCTCCCATCAAGAGACAAAGTCTATTTCCCCATCCCTTAAGTCTGAGCTAGCCCTGTAACTTGTTTTGACCAGTCCAGTGTTACTGTATGATTTCTGGTTTTCTGCCACAAAAGGCCTTGCAGTTTTGGTCTTCATACTTTTGAAAGTCAGCTTCTAGGTTAAAAGGTCTGACTACTGAAGAGGCAAGATGGAGAAAAAATGGGGTAAAAGACTACAAAGGGGTAGGGGACAGTCAACCCACAGCTATTCCAGCCACTCCAACTGAAGTGCCAGATGTGCAGCCATCTTAGATCCTCTAGCTCCAGCCATACTGTCTGAGACAATACCACATGGAACAGAAATAAGTCATTCCTAGTAGAGTCCTGTTCAAACTGCAGATCATGAGTAATGAATGATGATTGTTTAAAGCCACTAAGTTTTTCAGTGGTCTGTTTCACAATAATAGAGAAATGAACCCAAAAGACTAAATGAAATAATAGCACTGTATGAAGTGGCTGGCAGGTATAGGTGCTCAACATATGATTAATCTCTTCTCATTTAGAAGTATATCTGGACTGGGGCAAGCAGGTGGCATACTCGTTAAGGCAATAGATTCCCACATGGCCAACTGCAATTTGAGCCCTGGACCTAGCAGCTTGAAAATCATGCCAGGCACAAGTGCGTGTGCGTGTGCGTGTGCGTGTGTGTGTGTGTGTGTGTGTGCCCAAAACCATATGAGGAAGAATGGAGGAGAAGGAATTGTGGCATGGCCAGAGCCCCTGGAGGGGTGATTTCTCACTTTCCCTCTCTGACTCTCTCTGGTGAGTGTAAACGCTCGATGGCAAAACCCTAAAATAAGTAAATAAATAAAATCTCCATACAAAGACTTAAAAAGACCTGCTACCTTCACTATGACAGAATTGACAGAAATTACCTACACTGTACCAAAGATGCATAACAATGATCATGCTTTCTATACTTTCCAGGGATTCATGGAGACTTAATACAGTTAAGATAAACCCCAAGTTGCACATAGCTGAGTCTCTTCCTATTGTTTAGAGTGCCTGGGTAACCTCAAAAGCAGACTTGTAGCTGAACAAAACCTGGTGATTGAGTAGTATCAGGTAAGATAAAGAATAATTCTTTTGACTATTCATCCAATTCGCCTGATCCCAGAGGCATGAGAGAGATGCAATTTAACACTTACTGAGTGTTTCCTATATACCTGGCATTCCTCACAATGACTCTGTGGAGAATAAAGTATTATTTTCCTCACTTTCCAGATGAGGACACTGAGGTATAGAAGTTTTTAATCAGTTGTTGGATTCCCTGAGAAGCATTGGGACAGTGTAGTGTACAGAATATTAATTAGGAAGCCCTTGGGATCAACACTAAAGAAGGGAAGGAGAAGGAAGGGAAGTGAAAGGAATAGAAGGGAAGAGAAAGTGAAGGGAAGGGAAAGAAAGATAAGGGGAGAGAAGAGAAAGGGAAGGGAAGGGAAAAGAAAGGAAGAGAAGAGAAAGGCAAAGGAAGGGGAGAGAAGGAAAGGGAAGGGAAAAAGTCTTGATAGAGGTAGACTTTGGAACTGTGATGCAGTCATAATAGCAACCTCGAACTACCCTAAGGGGAAGCTGTGATACTCCTTCAGAGTTGTTCCCTACTATATTCTTATAGGGGATCAGGACTTTATTTCCCTGAATCAATCTGTCACCGGATACCTTATACCTGATTTCAGGTTCAGAGTTATTACAGTCACTCTCATCATCAAGTCATCCCAAAACAGAGAAAGACTTAAAGAAAAAAAGACTTTGGAGAAGTAGAAAAAAATAGACTCTGCTATTGGACAAATCTGGTTTAAACTCCTGAAACTTCCTCTTACTAGCCATTAACTCTGGACAAGTCATTTAACTTCTCTGAGGTTGTTTCCTTTTCAGGGAGAAAAGATGGCAGTAAGAATACTTAGCCTGTAAAGTTGTTTTGAATATCAAATGTAATCAAATCTGTAAAGCATCATACATAGGGCCCTGGCACAGAATAGGTGCTAAGCATATGGAAATTATTAGGATAATTATGTAAATTATTATGTGCTAGTGCCTGGCTTTCTCATTTGTAAGGATGAGTGAATAGGAGCAAAAAAGAGCTATCCAAAAGAGTGAATAGCATTACATCTTTTGTATTATTCAGTACACAGTAGGCAGTCAGCATTTACTCCAATGAACTAATGTTTACTTAAAACTATTTGTACAGACATAACATTCTTACTTTCAAAAGCAGAGGAACCTTTTATATTGTGAACACATAAACACAGTGGCAACTATAGTTAAGGAAGGGAGGAAAACTAACCCCTTCTCTCCAGTCAGGGCTAAAACTTTTTCAAATAGACAACCTCCACTCCCATCTCTATGTCTAGGAATGTCTTAACTAAGAGAGCTGAGTTTGGTAGAGAGGAGAGCTGTGAGGCTTAGAGAGTCTAGTGCTTTTTCTTTGGGGAGGGAAGGACACTTACACAATCCACAGGAAAGGGGTGACCAACAGCTATCTTGAGCTGAGGCTATCTTACAGAAGGTGCCAGATCAAAGAGAGGAAGTGATAAATGGAGTGAAAGTCCAACTAACCTACATATGTTACAAAGTAATTGGCACTCACTTGACTCTAAATCCACTCCTCTTCCCTTTCAATATACCATTAAACAGATGCTAGAGTAATGGCTTTGAATGAAAGCCAACACCAATGTCGGCCTAAGTCCCTTCTCAGCCTAAGGCAGCCCCATTGACTTTGACAGTGAGTTAGTCAGATCTCGTAGAATGGGTCTGTCTGGCTCCATGATTTTACTGTGGGAAATTTCTACTACTGATTTGCAAACACTATACACTTGGGGGGTAGGCCCACAAAAGCTCAGGATCCTCAGGCACAGAGCCTGGTACCTAAGAATTTTAGCATATCAGGGAGATTTGGGTGAGAGGAGATATAACAGCCAGGTCTCCCAAATGAATATGAACAGGAGGGCTTGTTCAATATACTTATGGGCTTTAAGAATAAGATAAGGGTTGGGATCAGGGAGCTATATGCACCCAGACTGTTGAGAAGTCTGGCAAGAGGACTGGTTTCCCTTCAGAGCCTAAGACAAAAATATTAGGAGGAGAAATCCTGGACCCTTTATCTGAAACAAGATATGTGCCTCCCCCAGCTTCAGACCCTAGAGCTCCTTAGGCTCCAGGCCTCAGGCATAAGAGACAGAGACACATTTGGGCTTTTTGCCTTTGCCTAAACTTCAAATGAGGGCAGAGTTGAAATGAGGGCAGGGATTGAAATGTAGGTGGAAGAAAAGGGATCATCAGACACGCTGTCATTAGCACCGGAACCACATCTCTTCCTAAACTGGAATTCCCAAGAGCAAGAAGTAGTAAGAGTAAAGTGAGAGGAGTTGTGCTTCAATCACCATAAACAGGAGACTTGGTGGGGATAGGGAAAGGTTGTTTCAAATGAGAACATCAATCACTCTGGCCAAGGGGAGGAGTTATGATCAACAGAGCTCCATGTGCTCTTCCTCTCTTCATTCATCCTGTTTCCGTTTCGGCTTTTTGGGGTTCCGGGACCGACTCTTGGCTTTGCACAGAGGGCAAATAGGTGCATTCCGGTGAATTTGCTGGTGACATGACAAGCAGGCCTGGTGGGGGGTATGGGACAAAGAAAGTTAGTGATCAGATTCTTCTAGGCCACAGTTTAGAATTTTGATCCCCAGGAACCCAGAAAGTAATTGTGGTTTCTCACCAGGAGGGAGGAATAATCAGTAAGACCCAAGTAGAAAGATCAGTGCTCTTAGAGGTCATAGAAGATGGGAGTAAAGGATATAACCCAAGTTATAGAAGGGTGTTGAGAAAAAGTATACAGAACTTGGAAATAAGGCAAAATAAAGATTATATATCCATTTAGCAGTATACTGGAACATCACCTAACAGGCCCACCCAAGTATTATTTTATTTTCTAGGACAAGGGTCAGCATTTTTTTCTATAATATCTGCAAAAGAAAATATTTTTGACTTTTCATATCATATGATCTTTGCTGCAACTACTCAACTCTAGTCTATATGAAAAATGAGCTACAGATAACCCATAAGCAAACAGACAGGCATGTGTACCAATAAAGCTTTAACAAAAACAGGTAGCAGGTCAGACTTGGCCTATGGGCTATAGTTTGCTGACTCTGATGCAGGAAAATGTCCCTTTGACTATTAACTATTCATCAGGGCCCAGACTCTATGATGTTATACTGATAAGCTGTAAATAGTTTCTGCCCAGTAGAGATAGAACTTTTTTCTGTTCAGAAAAAGTTACAAAAGTAACAGTTTTATTGCCCTGTAGGACATAAACCAAATCTCTACTTAAATTTGCAAATTTATTTCAACATTTCTTTCTTTTCATGGCTACATAAATATCTGCTCTTCAAATGATGTTGGAGTCAGCTTTATAATTCTACTGCCTCTCTCATTTATGACACTATATATTTGTTTAAGAGTCATATTTCTAAATTTTATAGAAATTATATTTAGCAAGGCCTGCCAATCTCCCTGTATTCTAACCTCTCGGGGAATGTGGGGCAATAAACTCAGTGAATTTAACAGAGCACACACACATCCCACTACTGTATCACAAGGAAAGACTGATTAAGGAAGGTCCAACATAAATAAGGCCAAAGCCTCAGATCCAGCATTGAATGAAAAGATACTGTACCTCCTCCACAGCTCCTACCCAGATCACTCACCTTCATAGGTGGGGGCTGCTGCCTGAAAGTGGCTGTCTCCCGAGAGTTCTGCTTCCTGCGCATGTGAGGGGCCGGGGGCTGCACCAGCCAGCGACTCAGGGATGGGTGGCTCTTGAGGCTCTGTCTGCCATTCTGCTTTCTGCTTCTCAAAGTAACTTTGGAGATGAGAGACATTGAATGGATCATTCTGAAAGCAAGGAGAATTTTGCCCCCCCCCCCTTTTTGAGATGTTTTTGTTACAGGGTGCATGCATTCACCTGAAAGACAGAGAAACAGCGAGAAATCACCCCCCAGGGGGAATGGCCACATTGCAATCCCTTCTCCATTCTCCTCTCAGGATCTTGGGCACGCACGCACATGGCCCCGGCATGAGTGTAAGCCACCAGGTCCGGGACTCAAACCGCAGTCAACTACCTGGGAGTCCAGCGACATAGCCATTACACCAACTGCTGGTCCCAACTTTGCCCCTCTTTAAGACTCCATCCTACAGAACCAAGAGTTGGGCTGTGACGGCTCACTCTAGAAAGTTACTGCACCTGCCTCGGCACTGGGCC